GGTAATCATCGTAAACAACATGACCCCAAAAACAGCTGTGCCCTGGGTAAGGGTTAAAAGTGCAGTAAAAAAAATATTTGTGTTCTTGTCTGAGTTTACTGTGTGCATGATAAATCATTTACATTATAGTATGTGAACTGCAGTCTGTTTAGTCCGTTGCTCCTAGTGTGTACTAAACAAAAGTTTATAAATTCTCGGGTTTCAAAGTATTTGTACGAGTACTGTGTTTGCTTCAATAGAAGTTCATTTCAAATCAAAATGCACATAAACCAAAAATTGTATACTAGATCTTAAACAAAAATTGACCCTAGAAACACCTCTGTAACAAAGTAGATATGGTATTCACAATTATTGAGTTGGAATGTTTTTAGCTGTGATGACGTATGATCAGCTTTAGGCTGTGCGAAGCCTGGAACAGCTTGACCTGGATAATTTGATTTTCTGACAGCTAATTTTAATGGATCTTTCTGAAATTATTTTTGCAAGGAATGCACTTTATAGGTTGCGAGTCTCAGAATGCACGAAAATTGATAGTTGAGCCTCTGGACTGTATCTTTGTAAGTGATGATAATGGATCGATAAAGCGAGAATTAGCCTGCAAAAAATTTTCTGCTCATATGATTTCATAGAAGCAGTAATGAGCTGAAACATTACACCTTGGAGTTTGAATTGTCTTAATTGGACAACAGGAAGGATTGATAATATTTTATCTCTGGAACACAGTAAATTTCATAAAAAGCATGAATGTCTTTTATAATTTTATATAATTAATTTTCTATAAATTAAGTGCGAGGATCTTCCATAGTAAATGTTTTATAAATTTTCATAAAAAACATTAATGCCTTCATGAAATTGACTGTACTGTTCTTTTTCATTGTTTATAAACATTTGTAAATTTTAAATGGCTGTAAGAAATCATCTGGCAATCATCTGATATTTTACAAATGCACAGGATTAGTCTTTGAAATTTAAAGAATTTCTGACCGACTGCAAAAGATTGTTTGAGTTTGGAACTACTCAATATTCTTTGCAATGCTTGACCCACAATAAACGCATGGTTAGCATAAAACAGTACACATAGAACAGTCATAGCATTGTTCAACGAGTGAACAAAGAACAGCTTGTGGATATATAGATCACATAGTAGAGTTGACCGTTTTACTAGCTCTTTGTGGCTTGTGTGTACAGGAAGAGGGGTGTGGTAATTCTACTAAAATCACAAATGGTTCCTTCAGCTACTAGTATTCATGGAATGTATTCCAATTTTTATCTTTTTTACACGACATTCTTACTGGAATAGTCAGTAATATATATTAACGAGAGTAAATGAACCTGGATGTCCTACTGGGGATACCGATAAAACTTAAAAAAGTCCTACAGCCATTGTCTACTTGTGATATTTCTGCCCACGAAGTGTTTGCGTGTTGTGTAGTTGACTGAACTACAATAGTTACCTGTTTTCTTTTCTTTGATGTCAGTCTGAGGGTTTGTTACTAAATAAATGTTTTCTTGCCAGTTTTTTTTCTTTTTCTATTTTAATACCTAGATTAATTGAAATGTTAAGACATACACTGTAAATGAATTTATTATTCGTAGGTTTTAAATCTCTCTATTCACCATGAATAAAATCTGCAATATTAAATCTATGTAAACATGTAAAATAACATTAGAGCTCATTGTTTCCCTGCCAAGTTTGCGAACTTAAAACCCAGTGAATATGCTCAAGACATCAAAACAGTAAAATTAAATGCCAGTGAAAATAATTAGTTTTACAGTATGTCCATGTTTAGCAACTAAACAGAAGGAAAATGATTTTCAAGCCATATAGTGAATCATAACCTCTCGTTTGAATGTGAATCAACAAATTTACAGTTAAGAACATCCATGGAAATCTGAAAGAAGTGTATTACCATGTATATGTGGGCATTACATAATATTACATATTTTACTTAACTATAGTTGCAATGTTAAATATAGTTTTTAACTATGCTTAATACTTTAATGTTAATATGTGAATTCACCCACCCCACCTCCTTTTCACAAATCTGACCTGTTAGCCTATAATTTATTAGGCTGGGATGGGTATTAAGTGGACAGGAAAAGTTAATTGTCAACACTGCATTTTATTTTATGTCCATCACCGACCAATCAGATTGTCACTAACCCCTATGAAAATTACAGCTGAATCAATAGAAGCACTGTTTAATTGAGAGAGAGACCATAAAACTATCATTATCCCACTGCATCAGGGTACTGATATTTACTATAGATTGATTTAGTGCTGAGAAAGTGCTTTTATATTGATAATTTGTTAGTTAACCTAAAATTATGGTTTATTTCACAAATATCTTTGACCCTTTCACTACCATTGTCAGGTTTTGTAACGTGCAATAAAGTAGTCCCTCTGACTTGTTTTCATAAAAGCTAGCTGGTTTATCATTTGACGTTTTTATCAAAGAACAAGAGCAATGTAAAGTTCTGTTTGTTTGATCCATTTAAATTTTAAGAAAATAACTGAAACTTTTGTATCAAAATGTTTTGAGGAAAAGACTGTCAGTAATGGCTTTATGTTTGTCAAATAGTTTTCATCCTGATTACCATGTATGTATACCTGCACTTAATGATTCAAGCTCACTTGATGTCCAAATATTATAATATTGGCAAAATTCAAGCAGCAATGCATTTCGGACACAAAATCCTGCATATGAATTACCCAGTTTTTTTATTTACATGTATTTTTTTGAATTTCAACTTGACCCAGTCCCTGTTTAGACCTATGTCCCTAACACAAAAATGGTTGATGCCTTCATTTGCAAACAATGGATTCTGCAGGGAATGAACTCAAATAACCTTCATGTTTATCAGTAATTAGATGTCAGTGAACTTTGCTAATGAAGTCAAAGTCACCGGTAAATCAGGTGTGCAGCTTTGTAAGGTCAGCTACACAGAAATGAATTTCAATAAACTACCTCACAATGTAATATGCTAATAACGTGGCAACCAAATTTAAATATGCAATATTGACAAAAACTGTATTTTTCAATACAGTTGTTTGCTAGAACCAAATAGCATTTTAATGAACCCAAACTAAGGGTTGTTTTTTGAAAAATTCAAAATACATGTGGAATGAATGTTACTGTAAACTAAAACAATCTGGGCTTCATGTGGGATCTAGATAAAGAAATATTTTCTAAAAGGAGTGCCTGTGTAGAGGCAAGGGGGGGTGTCACCATCATAGATGAGAAGGGAATACCTTAACTGGCTAAAGGAATATGTACATAGTTTGAATTGGAAATAAAAATCATTTCATTTATTCTAATATTTCCGTTGGCCTTTCTGGAGGAAAAAACTAAAATATGCCAATTCCTCCATCTTGGAAGATGACATATGAATCGGGAATTAAAAATAATTTTGCATAGAATGGAAGAATTTTTAGAATAAACGGCAAAGAAAACACAGACAATACATATTTCAAATTGATTATGTAAAATATATTTTATTATTGCTTGATTAGGATTAAATCTCTCAATTAATTAAAGTAAATTTCATCATGTACAATGTAGATAAGTTTACTGTAGCCTCTAATTCGTAAGTAATCAACTTTCATATTCCTCCTATTTATCTTTAAAAACTGTACATGGAGTGAGGAAATGAACAAATATATTGAGATACATCGTGATGATTTAAAAATACATGAATCATTTATCGTAGCTATAAAAAAAAACAGAATATAATGTCCAACATTTAAGAAATCAATACAGAAAGAGAAAATAGATGACAGAAAAGATGCCCCTGACAAACCTGTCCTTGACTCGTGCTCATTAATTATGAAAATCCCAGTTGTAGAACAGCTGAGCTTTGATCCATTTTATGAAAATTAATGGCTATGCACATGCCTTGAAAATAGATCTATAGGTTTTTTGGAGTATAAGGATAGAGGTTTTTCATGTATGTGATTTGACATCATTGCTTGTATATAGAGACAGCTATAGAGGTCAAGTATGAAGCACAGCTCTGGGATTACACCGATGCATCATGGGAAATGTGATTTTAATGTACGACTGTTCAAAACATGACTTCTCGTCAACTTTTAGGAGATATTTATGCCCAACTAAAGAATGAATGGTTTGCGTCCAAAAATAAAATAATACGGTAGTGTTGTTCACTGTTAATGTCATGTCCAGTTTAATAATATAACAACATGTGGACAATGTTGCCAAAGCAGATCCATATATGATATTTTTTTTGTCAAGTATTTGTGGTGAGCAGATATATAAACACGTTACAAGGTGTGAATGCATGTTTAAAGTAATTGTTAAACAGAAAATAACAAGATAACTTTGGTAAAATTCGCCAGAAATAGAAAATTGTGAAAAAAACACATAACAAATAAGAGAGGATAGAAACACATAATAAAACGTACATCATCACTAAACTTATTACACTACATATTACAGATACTTAGTAAGTTTACCACACACTTCTGTTCTGATACTTCACAATTTTAGACACCAGACTGATATCAATACAACACAATGGAATGGCAGTAGGAAACATTGTGACACTTCATAATTTATTCATCTGATTGTAGTTCCAAAAAGAAAAACAAGTTATTTGTAAATGATTTCTGTGTTATTCTCCTGATTCAAGATATGATTTAACAAGTATAAGATTATCAGATTGTCAAGGCAACGTGTGATGAAAGTACCATTAACGAGATTTACAACATTATTTACACCACGCCAACTATATACAGAAAATTTTAAATATTCACAGCTGATACATGTATATCACAATTTGGATGTGTCAGAACTGGCAGTTTTTAGGATATGGAAAATTATGTAAATTATTTGTCATCTTGTATGACTTTTTTGTGTGTGCAATAATATTTATTAAACCAGTAAGATATCAGGTACACTGTGAACTGGTTCATCATTAAAGTATCTGCTAGTTATCTGAATGAGTCATAAAGTTGATCTGTATTTAATCAATGACTACAGCACTTTATCAAAGTTTATAGTTGAGCTGCACTGAATTCGGAGACATCGCTGATAGTACTGTCATCTTGTTGCTCAAAACTTGCACCTGATATGTCAAAATCTTCAACACTTTCTTCGGCCGATGGTAGGGTTACTAGTAAAGTACCGGGAGCGCTTCCCCCTAGAGTCAAGCCAGATGGTAACTTGGATCTGTCCATTTCGCTAATGGCGCCATCTGATTGGCTGAATGTTTGGGACAAATAACCAGAGAGGATCAAAGCATCAAGTTGCATCTGATCCGGGGTCTGCGCTTCGAGATCATTGGTACTTTGTGCCATACCTGTGTGAGTAAGAAGAGGAAATTAGACGCATGTACAATCAGTACTACCGACTCTTAATAGTGGCAAAATATTTTTAAAATGTTATATGAAACACCTCATTTTGAAACACCAAAATATGAAACACCTCTTTTAATAGTACTGGTA